CGGAGACGTCGGGTGAACCTACGCTTCGCGTAAATTCAGTTTTTGGTAGAAATCGTTTAATGAAAGCTTGAATATTATTAGCATTAGTTCTATAATATGTTTCTCCATTTGGTAAAATATAGCTATTATCAAAGTAATCAAATTTATTTTTTGATGCTGTTAATAGTTCATTTCTCCATTTTACGATATCCTCTGCAAAATTTATTAATCCTTCATCATTTGGTGTAAATCCTTTAATAATTTCAAACGTATTTATTTTGTAATTAAGCGAATTTAATTTTTTTAACTCCTTCGTTTCAAAATTATATGTATTAAATTTTAAGTCAGAAGTTTTATACCAAACGATGAAATTGGGAATTCTCATATTTTATTATATATATATATATTATCTTTAGATTGAAATTTAATATAAGAATTTAAAAAAAATAGAGTTGATTAACTCCTTTTTATTAATGAATTAAGATTTTTATGCTTTTGCGAAAATAATAAATATTACCTCATGAAATTCTAGAAATTTACTAGTATCTTTAACTGAATATGTATAATATTCATCTTCATCTTCAAGCATATTATCAATATCACTATCTAGTGATTTTAATGTTCTAAAGCCGGTATTTGCAAGTCCTCTAATATATAAGCTATTTTGATTTACTTTAAATCGTTTTAAAAATCCGAATGCATATTGTTTTATTTGTTTAATATCAAGTGTTGATGCGTCTGACATTTTTAGTGTAACTTTAACTTTGTTTTTATCTTCTCGTTTTCCTTCCATGATTATTTTAGCCATCGTTACTGTATACTTTATATATTATATATATATTATCTTTAGATAGAAATTAAATATATGGATAATATATGTTTTGCGGAAGGTTCCGTTAATCGAGTTTTTCATCTATTTTAAGAAAATGTAACTTGCTGGGACACTTGTGCCAGCAATACTGGCAGTGAAATCTATTTTTAGAAAAGAACTCGTGAGACTTGGAGTTGCCTCTATAACTTAGTTATGTAAGTCAAAATAACCAAAATATCCTGTCAGAATTAGTTACTTAGCTTTGAAATACTATTTCTGACAGGTAAGCCTCTCAAATCTAGTTGTTTTAGGAATCTAGAATGTTTGAAATCTAGAATGTTTGAAATCTAGAATGTTTGAAATCTAGAACGTTTGAAATCTAGAACGTTTAAAGGAAAGTGTTTCAATGCTCTCACTTTCCAATTTGCCGTTGCTTTATGACCACCAAATGCTCTTGTACTTGTAAATGCCCATCTCCGAAGAAGCAAACTCCTAAAAAAGTGCGCAAGACTCGAAGTGATATAAACAAGAAGCGTGGCAAACGCGACGTCATCGAAATCGAAAGCTTATGCCAGAAGATTAAGAAGACGAATTTAAACAAGAAGCACAGGAAGGGAAAAAAGCAAGAAACAATTGGATAGTCACTATTTGTACCTAGGTAAATAAAAAGAAATAAAAATGTGTAGCGTAAATTTTTGGTCCAGAACATTCTGGACCAATTGTTGTGATGAAATAAAAGTAAAGGAAACAAAAGAACATAAATCAGTAAATGCTGATCCATAGCAACATGGTAGAGTCAAAATAAATTTACATATCAATATATTAAATTCAGTACAAAAGAACATAAATCAGTAAATGCTGATCCATAGCAACATGGTAGAGTCAAAAAAATTAAAATTCAAATAATATGTGTTATTGTAAAATTGTGTTAGTCAATCTAAAGTAAAATTGAAACAGTCATATAACATGTGTTATTGTAAAAATGTGTTTAGCTAATTTCTTCAATCTAAAGTTTAAATGTCAAATATGAAATAGCTAGTGTTTATGTTTTATTGTGTTTAGCTCTAAAGTTTAAATTTGAAAATATGAAATTGTAAGTGTTTATGTTTTATTGTGTTTAAACTATAAAATACAAAAATACAAAAACCCCGTGGGTTAGTGGGTTTTAACTTAATTATAAATTGAACTAAAGTTCAAAAGAAGATTAGCTTTTGAAAGCAATCATTTTTCAATTTACATTTAAACATTAGTTAGCTTTATAGTAAAGCATTGAAGAATGTAGCTATCTTCTTTAAAGTAGAAATTTAGCATTATCTAGCTGCCCGAGTTCCGAGGGGCAAAAGGGGATGATGGTCACATTCACTTCACTCTATTCAACCTTTTTTAGACTATTAAAATACCTATTCTACCTTCCTACACACCCCGAAACCCAAGTTGTAAAACCTCTCTTATAGAGAGGTTTTGCAACTTATCCAGCCCGCATCCATTCCGCATATTTTTGACAAGAATCGCTGTAGGGATATGGACTGGAATGAATTTTGGTTTTGCAAAATTCCAGACCGCATATCCCTACATTAATGCGGTTAGCCCCTGTGGATACGATAACATTCACATATTTGCATGTATCCATGGCCACATGCGCCACTAAGACTGTCCTCCTCCGTCGATTCGGCCTTGCGCTACTAGCATTTCATATCATAGAGAGATCAGCAAGCCAAGAAGAGCATGGACAAGTAGAAACTCAGGCCATAGGTCCCAGTAGACATCCCAATAGATGACGTAGGTGACAGAAAAGTCCCTGATGAATAAATTGATGAGAATTGCCCTAGTATGGTAGCCAATCAAGCATGACCGTAAAGGCGAAATATTCACTCCCTCCCTAGGGCCCTGCTCAAGAATTCTAGGGCCCCTAGAGGTTCTCATCGTCACCCATTGGTCATTCTGAATTTGTTTTTCTGATTGGTTAAAAAAACATTTTCTATTTATTGTCGATTTTGATACAAATTTGAGGACGGGATGCAATCGAATCGCGCCGACCAAACCGATCCGCAATCGATCTGATTGGTTAAATTTCATTGAGAAGGTTTTGATTGGCTAATAATTTTGAGCTCTTCTGAAGTAGCCAATTAAATCGATTTACATTCCAACGAGAAACCACACCACAATACGAAATTTCACTCGAAAGCACAATATAATAAAAGGCGAAGTCATTAATAGCCAATAAACCGTCTCGGCTTGGTTTTAATGCAATATTGTGTCCACTACTTAAAGAAGAGATTCACATACATAGCATTCGCGCATTAGTTGAGGGAAGCATGGCAGAATCGACTACCGTATACCCCCCGCTTCAGTACCTATGAAAATGTCAGTGAAATCTGATCACAACTGGTGCGGTACCTTGAAAACTATTCAGGCATGCGCATTGGTCTAAATCCATCACAGGACTTATATTTCATTGGATGAAAATAATTAACGCATGGTCATTGGATAGTTCTGTCCAATTAGAGACAACTAGGTACACGCCCAACCTGAACCATGAAAATGTTCGTCATTGGCCGATATGTTCCAAACCAGTACAGGTCCAACTGGAGAATCATAGGTACTGAAGCAGGGGATATACGGTAGTACGTAGTACTTCAAGATTTGGCATACATGCAAGTCAGAAGTGAAAGCGACTGGAATTCGACGAATTGTAGAGTTTCTACGTTTTACTACGTAGTACTTGCTTCGCACCCCTCCATAGGGAAATTATTTTTTTGCTGCCCAACCCCATATTAGGGAACAAAGGGGCCCCAGGGATTCCCTCTATTACGGCCGACGGTTCTCTGACCGATGGTCTCGCTTAGCGTACCATCCATGAATGTCGCTTGAATGTCGTGGAAAATCGAAAAACTTAATCGATACATCGATCTACCTTGCTTCATTCGCTAAACACGAAGCCACGTGCTTCGTGACGAATCATTGGCCATTTTGTCGACGTTCCCACCATGCAGTTTGAATTATCTGGCCATACAATTGTCCAATTGTACACTGCCTCACGGGGGTCAAAAGCGCAAAAAACACTCGCTTTCGTGTCGGAAGTTTCTTTCGAGTTCGCGTGTGCGTTGGTTGTCAAGGCCGACGAATTCGTCGCCTTTCCATGCACTGGCAAGTTGCATGAGCTGTGTGGGGTCCGTGCACACTCGAAAAGCACGTCGAAGAGCGAAAACACTGCCTCACGGGGGTCAACAGCGCAAAAAACACTCGCTTTCGTGTCGGAAGTTTTTTTCGAGTTCGCGTGTGCGTTGGCTGTCAAGGCCGACGAATTCGTCGCCTTTCCATGCACTGGCAAGTTGCATGAGCTGTGTGGGGTCCGTGCACACTCGAAAAGCACGTCGAAGAGCGAAAACACTGCCTCACGGGGGTCAAAAGCGCAAAAAACACTCGCTTTCGTGTCGGAAGTTTGTTTCGAGTTCGCGTGTGCGTTGGCTGTCAAGATCGACGAATTCGTCGGCTTTCCATGCACTGGTAAGTTTCATGAGGCTCTGCCTCATGAGTTTATCCGAACAATCACCGGATATACTTACCTAGTTGAACCTAAATGAGTTCAGTAAAATACACGCGTGCCAGTAAGACCAGGAAACCGCTTCACATACAAACACCAAGTAAACGTACGTGGTCGTTGAACAGACCATGACTAGGAGTGGCACGACTTTACGGCCTACCTGTCGCTTTTCCCGACTAGAAGATAGAACAGATCATTCGGTGAAGTGAGAGGTTTAGATCCACGCTCTCGTATGGCCAAGCTTGCGCAGACGGCCTCCCAGGCCTTATAGTACGCTCAAGACTCTGTGATGAATCACGCGCTCATGACACTGTGCGGCAAAAACTATCCTAGTGTATAATGCACTAATCTAAACCAGGTTATCGAAGCAACAGTTCAAAGTGGTTACCTTGCAGGTAAAGGCAGCAATCACTTATACCACTAGCTTTGAATTCAATCTCCCATTGGTCGGTCGGAAGTAAAATGCTCCGGAGGTCATGTCCATCAAAAGTGTACTTGTCAAAGCTCGCGCCAAATTTCGTTCCGCGAAAACAAAGATATCTCGATCGAAAGCACGGGGAAGCTGCATTATATCGGATGAACACCCCATGACCCGAATTCGTTCGTGTCGGTCGCCAAGGTAGAGTAACGTCGAGCTGCTCGCTTTGCTTCCTCACTTCGAACGGCATGCTGTTCTCACAAAAGCCGGTTTCTTGCAAACTGCGTGTATGCTCTCGGCGCTGTCAATGTGCTCCGAAAGTTGCGTGGACGTTGGTTTAGCACAAGCAGGTTGGGCGGGCGGTGGTTGATCATGTGTTCAACAATATCCGTGTCAAAAAGATTGCAGTCAACGACTTGGACAAGGCGATAATTTACAGCGTAGCAGACGCACGTTCCAAGGATGTGTTCGAATCGTCGATGCTTACGTTCAGGGCCAATCTCCCTCGGGCGTACCAGTACCTCGTCGACATTCAACCTGGAAGCGAAGGATGGGTTCAGTACAAGATCAACGATTTGGGGTTTGCGACGTTTGGGACAAAGACATCGAGCGCATCGGAAGAAACAACTCGTGGCCCGGGGTGTTGTAACACTTCTTACGTGGCATTTGAATAGTTGATACTTCGATCAACTTGTTGAAGAACTACGTCCACGAGGAAGTTAGCTGGCTTCGCCACTAACTTGGCTCGTTGCTTGTTGAACTTCAGTAGCAACTTGCACATGTACTGATAGTACGCTGAAACAGGATCATATGAACGCAACATATGTATATTGCAGTAACAATAGTTTTCTGTAGCCTCAAGCGAAGTGTGGTGACCCAGGCGACGTTCAAAAATTGGCAAGTACAAGGTTCGCCACGCGTCGGTGTAACACGTTTCTTGTCGAAAAGTGCACATTCCAGCTCGCTCATGCTCGTGCGGAAGATGGCAAGACGACTTATTACCTTGCTACCATGCGTTCGTTGTCACTATGCAACTTCGTACGTAGTTTCATTATGAAATGCTGAATGGGTCCCAACAAGAACTATATCGCCGACACATCGATCCGTCGTCAACTACTGAATTGAACATTCAGTCAACTGACTTGAACATTCAGTCAGAGATTCAACCTCCAAGAGTGTTCTCTGCATCAGAAAAGAAGTACGCATAAATAGTTACTTCGAAGTACTGCATAGTACTGTATACAAGTTGTTCAACCTCACAATCGCTTAGGAAACCTGATCCGCCCAAGATGAAGCGTTTCAAGTCGCATGGTTTGTATTGACATGAGTAACACCGTCCGCTCGCACCAGGTCCTGAGCGTACTAGAATTTGTACGGATGCAATCCTCTATACAATCCTCTATATAACGGAAAAACATGGAACATTTTATATCACCTCTATCTTCTGGCCAGTTCTCAGATTATCATGCTGAATATCGGAACTCCTTGATGTGGCTTCTATTTTTAGCCACGCAAACATGAAAACGCTGTTACTCACACCTGACCTGTCTAGATAAATAAGTAGGACAGGATTGTTCCGGATAATAGAGAGTTTTCGGGCAGTGGATTTGAGATAGAATTCGAGGTTCGGAACTCTACAGACGACGAGGGATTTTAAGGGACACTTGGCCCTTCGAATTTGGCGTGAAATCGAAATATGATTGGCTAATGATCTTCGAAATTCGAAAGTAATTATAGCCAATCACACAGCAGAAGCTCATTTTCACAGTTTTGAATATGGTGTTATTTTATATTGATTGGTTTGATGATTCAAATTATACAATAATTATTGGTACTGTAGCAGTGGTTAGAATCTCGGATTGCGAAGCATGGGATCCGGGTTCAAGTCCCTGCTCGATCGTAGTTTTTACAATTTTAAACACATATCTATATACAAAATCACATACAATCCTAAAACCCTCTGTAGATGTAGATGAGAGAGCCCGCGCTTTGATGGAGAAGTGGATCATGGCTATACCCTTGAGCAGACTTTTGATCAGACACTATTGCAGAAACGACTGTACACGCAGGCGTTTCTGCAGCAGCGCCTTAAGATGTCTGATGAATGAATGACTTGTTTTGAAAGTCACGTTGGGTGTGATTCCGCTTAAATCACTCCTTGTCGACCAGAAAGAAACATCTCATGCGTCTCCCACTGCCGCACAATACTGTATAATAAAGTCAATGGCGTGGTGTTCGTGCTGCGTTGACAGTTGAAGAAAATATGCAACAGACAGATTGGCCAACAACATCTCCCTGTGTACCTCACCTTTGAGCCGACGCCGTGCGCCTCCTCGCTAAATCGCGTCATCCTATCGACTCGGGTGCAGCTGTGTACGCTCCCTGATTTTCCAGCAGCGGCAACCCGAGTCGACATAAGCACCTACGAACCGTCATGACCTGTACCGTCTGCAGGTCGATCCCTTGGTAAAGGTCAGAGGTGCCTTGTGCCCACATGGCCTCCCTTCTCATAGACTTGGAAACCCGCCATCGCCAAAGGGAGGCGGAAGCTGTCACTGCCGGTCTAACAGCCTTTGGCTATTGTGAAATTACACGTGTCGACGAATGTCGTCAACCTGGTATTTAAAATGATTTCACCCCAATCAACTGTTGAGTAGTATTCTCATAATATTATTGATTGGATAATATAAATAATGTGTTGACAAAACTTCGGTGACCCTTAAAATCCCTCGTCATCTGTAACTCAAAAGTAGAAAAACAACATTGTCGGGCAAGAATATACTCAAATTTGAGGTACATTTCGGCTCCTTTCAGACAAAAAGTAAGATAGGTAGATTGAACGGATACTATACGAATGACACGTTATTGTTCACACAACCAGCAATTTGAGTCATGCGGTTACAACCAGTGCTTCGGAACCGCGATGTCGTGCTTCTCTTAACTGCACTGCTAGAGCAATGTCAGGGTGATTTTGACACGTTCTTGGACACCCTCGAAGTATTGATTGAAGTTAACGTACTGCACCTGCGAGCGCCCTAATCAACTACAACAACAACTTCGACCGGCACATGGATGCTGCCACCGCCCGCACCAAGTTTTGATTTTCGATCAACCAACTTGCCGTTCTGTGTGTAAAGCTGCGACAGCCGGAGTTCACGGTCACGCGATGGCAAGACAAGGTCGACACGGTTGAGGCGATTGCCATCGTGTGCCGACGTATGGCAGAGACTTGTCGCTTGTACACAATCGCATCCGAGTTTGCACGATCGTTGGAGGCCAGCAGTCGAATCATCCATGCTGTGTGAACGCAATCCATCAAAAGTGGCACGACGTCATGTACTCTCATGAGCGTTTGACCGCACTTCGTGCAGGTATATATTGTCTTGTTCGTATGCGTCTAAGATAGTTTCCCTTTAGATTCGTATGCTGAAGCCATTGAAACCAAGAGCGGCTTCCGCGGAATGAAGACATGCGTTGCCTTCAATGATGGTACCAAGTAGTTTATCAGCCACCCGACCCCACGATACACTGCATCGGAGCCCGAGAACCTCCAGCGCTTCGTTTACATGGGCACCCACGGCGTCACTCTTTCAACTGGCAAGGTGTTTCCGTGCCCGACGGCATCATCGTCAGCATGTATGGGCCCGTCGAAGGCCGACGCCACGACTCGACGATGCTTTCAATGAGTTGTTTGTTGGATCGATTCAAGGCGAACCCAGTCTTGGCGCGGTTCAGTCTGTTCGGCGATCCGTCATATGGATGCCGTCAGCAGAGGTTGGGAAAGAGTTATTTTTATTGGAATATATTCATTTAAAAGTATAAAATAAATTATTCTGAAATCCTTTCAAAACAATAAATAATTCGTTTGTACTTCGAGAGAGAATAAGTATTGACCTGGACCTCTACAAAAATTAAATATTGAGTTTTGGAGAATTATTCTAACCTCCATTCAATTCAAAGTGCTGTAAACAAAGGACAATAATTTCCGTGCAAATCGAATGCAACCACAGCCATTAACTTCACACATAGTTACAATCAAACCAAACAAACACAATTCATTTTGATGACCAACGACAACAACCAACCATCGCCCCTTTGAGGAAAACAACTCGCCAGCTGAGGTGAGGTACGTGTAAAGTACACGTACCTCACCTGAATCGACGCTTTGGCTCTGTAAATGTGGGAAGCGCCGCACACAAAACGGCACTGGGTACACGAATTTGACGTCGCACATAGAGCGCGAACACCCCGAGTACCTGAACTATGACCCCACAGCCCCGATTTCGGAGCAGAATCTGTTCATGCCCCTGCTCTCGCGCAGTGTGCGGAACGTGTACGATTGGCTGACCTGGATTACGTCGTCGCTGTTGCCCTTTAACTTTTGTGAAAACGAGATGGCTCGCCGCTACTCGAACCTTGGTCCCATCAGCAACAAGACACTCATGAAATGGATGCACTAAATGTGTCGTTGGTTGGAAGCGAAGCTAAAGAAGCCCCTGCCCGAGTCGCTTGCGTGTGTATTTGATGCCTGGACAAGTGGGTCGACGCATTACGTGGCGGACTTTGCGTCGTTCCCAAGTGATTCGTTGCGTGGATACGAGAAGGTGTTGCTCGCATTGTCGCCGATGAACGACGAAGATTCATTGAGTGCTGCAGCCTTCCTGGATTTGTTTGACTTTGTCCTCGATGTGTACGGCAAACGGCGCCGAAATGTGGTGGCCCTGATCGGCGACAATTGCGCCACGAACCGTGCCTTTACTCGCTTGGCTGGCATCCCTATGGTGGGTTGTGCGTCTCATCGGTTCAACTTGTTCGTTGGTGATGTGCTAGGCGACTATGAGGACCTGCTGTGTGCTGTACATGCCATCATGAAGAAGCTGTCTAACATCATTCCTGCTGCCAAGCTTCGCCGGATGACACCATTGTGTCCCAAGCAGCGCAACAAGACACGATGGAGCTCATCGGTTGCCATGTTGACTCGATATGTCGAGTTGAAACCGTTCCTTCCCCAACTCGGGCTAGACGACATCGACATGCTACTGCTTAACAGCCAGCAAGATCGTGATGTGGAGCTGTTGATTGCCCAGCTCACCGACTTGAACTCAGTGACGCTTGCGCTCCAGGACGAGTCGTTGACACTTGCCGATGTCCGAATGCTGTTTGACGAAGTCGTTGTCCAGTACCCTGGCGCTGAGGTTCGCCTGGGGCCGGATGCAAGTGCCGTGGAAGACCCCACCTTTGAGTCTGGTGTTGTGAAGGTACTTCAGCACATGGAGGCGTCACTTAATGAGGACGAGCGTATGGCGATTGCTCTGTTCTCTATGCCAAGTATACCCGATGGTGGGTATGTGAGTGATACGGACAGCTTGAGCATAGCGGCCCGTGCGTTGAAGCGCCGCAAGTTGCTGCAGGCCCGGAGCAACTACCTCGACTGCCGTTTCCTTCGACCGACGTCGAACATGTGCGAGCGGCTGTTCTCTATGACGAAGTGGGCGATGACCGACCGCCGTCGCAGTGTGCTGCCATCAAACTTTGAAGAGCAATTGTTCCTCAACTGCAATTCTTTCCTTTGGGGAAGCGAGGACGTCAAGAGCGTCATGGAGGGTGAAACCGATGAGTAGGGTGTAGCCAAATTTGATCTAGTGTTCATTATTGCATATAAATCAATAAATATGCCTGTTCTTGGAGAGTCCAAAACTGGTCTCCAAATCGCGTGAGGCGCTCTGTGGGCCGAGAAACAGCGATTTCGTCGTTGTGCAAAGAAATCTTGAAACTAGTGACTGGAAAATATATAACAATGTTAAGTATAATTTTGTATGGAAATGCTCGAAAAACAATCTTTTTATACCCAACCACAGAGGAGAAATAGTTATTGAGCTAATCATCGCATGGCAAAAAAAGCGTATGATTCTCGACATACGTATACTTGCTAGGGTTTGGGTTTTCTGAGTATTTTGGCAACTTCATTGGATGAAAACTAGGTGCATTGATTCTCTGGGGGATTTGAAGAATTATTCAATAAATTATTCACCCCACTAGTCTCGCCGAATAAGTTATTCACCGCTGGTATAGAAAGAATGAGTAATTCTCTTCGTGGGTTGAAAAAAATAAGTTTCATTATTCATTTTCGACAGGAATAAGTAATAAATAGTATTTTCCCAACCTCTGGCCGTCAGTCTCTGTCCTGTCCGTTTGCGAATGCTGTACCGGGAACATTTGAGGCGGTGTTCAACTGATCGATGAGTTCTGTGCCCGAGTCCGTCGAATGGAGCTTCCACTTAGTTAAATGTTTGTTGCCGTAAGTATCTTACGACAAAAAGATGAAAGTACGAGGAAGTTCTATTGGCTTGCTGTGGTTACTTAACTGCAACACTTCTGAAGAACTGTCACATGTGCCTGAAGCCGGATGGAAATCTGATATCCATGTACTTTGATGTGAAACCGCCAAGTCTCGACGAATACTTGTTATCAGCACTCCCCTAGAAGTAAATATAGCCTAATTTTGCAATAAAGGGTTTTTCATTATGTTCCATACTTACAGTTAATTGCAAATGTTTTTGTTGCTACAGCCCTAAGTAACATGATTATCATTGTATTTGAGGTATTTTATTTCAATTTGCGCTAGTATTGTAAAAATAACTGATATAGCATATGGACATAGAATATAAATCCATATTATGCATCAATTACCCTACAGCTGCGAGAAATTAGCCTTTTATAGTGTCGATACAGCCTTAAGATAGCTGAAATTTCAGGTATTTTAGGAAGTCAAATTATTTATTATTCCTATTTTTTTATGAGACTTGCCAGCAATTGTTGAATTATTAGTTGAGGTTCTGGTGCTTTTTCTCTTGCCGCTGTGCTTGGGTCGTGTCAAACGTGAGGCGCTCTTCAAGAAGTTCAGCATGCTTAGCTTCTCGTTTTGATTTTTTGTCGATCCCCTGCTTAATGGTATCTATTAAAGATGAAATGTCGAGACTTGGGGCTTGAATCTTCTTTTTCTTCCTTGGTGTTTAATCCTTTTCGTCGCCCTGGGCGTCGAGATGCCACATTGCCATGCGCTGCATCAACGCCCAAAAGTTCTCAATGCTCTGGACCTTGCGCTTGACATTGTCCTTCCGGACGGCTGCGGTTTCTTCGAAGTCGTCAATGCGGGCCTTGATGTCCGTCAGCGGAAGTTCTCTTCCGGTATAGTCCTCGCTTGTACCGGAATTGCGCATCGAAGATACCTCGCCTTCACACTGCGTCTTGATCAGCAGCTCAAACTGGGTTTTGAGGCCTCGGGTTTCTTGTTTATCTTGAATCCAGGAATGCGATTCACTTCCCGACAGACTTCCGCCATTACCTTGCCGTTGCCCGCTTCCTATAGCTTCGACAAATTGACTTGCTTGAGCACCTCGATTTCGTAGAAGAAATCGAACTTGCCATGACACGATTGGACGTCGTCGACTTGTACGACCGGGTTGGATGGGCTGTTGATTGTTGACATGGCAGGAATCGAAGTGACTGAATGGTCGCCATTGTTTTATTATCCGGATGTTTATCGACGATGTATCTATCTACCTCAGCAAAGTTTGGGAGATAAAGTTGCCTGGAGCTCCGGAATGTGTTGACATTCGCACAATTTGGAGAACGTCATTTCAGAGACTTATATATTTATAGAGTATTTTGTGCTACCTCAACTCAAATGTGGACTACCGAAAACACTCTAATATTCGGATGAGGCCGTGCCTCATGAGGCAATAAAGCTGCTCCCCAATATACTATATCCTTAGGAGATTTCGCAATCGTCGGTTATTTGTTCGCGTTCAGCTCACGCAACGCCAACGGCAGCGGCAACGACAGATATTTTATGATTTCGCAACAGCATATTTCCATAAAAAAATACGCATAAATTATCCGGATAAGGGATCAGCATCGGCACACGTCCAAATGAGACGAGACAGCACTGGTGGTGTCAGTCGTGCGGAGGCTACTTAAAACAAAGTCACGTCAATGGAAGCATCGACTGTTGTTCATACTACCGTGGAAGCTGTTACAACGTCCTGTTATCCCGGACGTTCGATTTCGCCTGGACACGTTGCGCAACAGCTCTCTGTCCGTCGAACGAGCCCTGTGATGAACCGCCTGTAGCTGCACCTAGCCACTGCACCAGTTCGTATAGCACGCTAAGAGCGTGGTCTCCGAATTTTTGTTCCTGCTTTCATGCATTCGAGCTTTGTCCGGATAAAATTTATTCGGATTAGTTGTGTTTTTCTGGTCTGTGAAGGCATTCCTGCTTCGCCACGATGGACATTTTCAATCGGGTTGCTGTTGCCGTGGCTACAGCCGTATGCGCAGTGTGTATGTCGGTAGCTACTACGCCTCTTGGTGCTAAATACAATGTGTTGACCATCACTCTCAAGTTGACTTTGACGCTATGCTTGGTGACGCACGCTACGAGCAGTGGTTCCACGGCAACCTTCGCTGTGACCAAGCTGTCTTACGCCGACTTGTAGACTTGCTGCGCCAACGTTTGCATCCCAACGAGTGTCAATCCAGCCACTCCTTCGAGAAGAAGGTGGCCGTGAAGCTGTACTTCTTGGGGTCCGAAGGTGGCTATCGAGAGACAGCAGCAGCATTTGGAATGGCCAAATCGTGGTATATCACAGTCGTGGCGACCATGGTGGATGTGTTGGCTAGCCAAGCAAAGTTGTGGATACGCCTGCCGACCTCTCCTCGTGACTGGAGTCGCATCGAACGTGGCTTCTACAAGGTACAACGATTTCCGGGCGTTGTTAGAGCTGTGGATGGTACTCTCATTGACATCCAACGGCCCCGTGAGTACGATGGTTTTTACAATCGAAGCGGTGACCCCTCTCTCAATGTTCAAGCAATGGTGGACCACCGTATGGTATTTTTGTCCGTGGATATCCGTCCTGGTTCGTTCTCCGACAAAAAAATTTGGAAGGTGTCGCAGCTGGGCCAAACAATTCGTCGCTGTATTCCTACCGGCAGCCACGTTATTGGCGATTCTGGATACACATTGCTACCAGGGTTGTTGACTCCATATGTGCCGCACGAAGAAGGCGGTCGTTTGTCCAACACACAAAAGCGATTCAACTACAAGTTATCCAGCACTCGAATGGTGGTCGAGTGTGCGTTTGGGCGCCTCAAGGAGAGATTCCGGATTTTGAAAACCGTGAAGAACGAAAGATCATTGGACCGGACGGTCGCCATCACTACATGTTGCTTCGTACTGCACAACTTGTTTATCCACTTTAACGACGGACTTTTCGACGCGCCTTGTAACCGTCGCGATCAGAATATATATTTCCAACAGGCTGATGAAAGTGAAACGGAAACGAATAGTTTCATTCGTCGAACATCAATGACAAAAAGAAATGGAATTGCAAAGATTATAGTAATTTGATAATCTAAATCTTACTTTTCCTTTTGTGCGATTAAATGCGCAACGAGTTGAGCAATCGTCCGAGACTGTCCTTGAATGGCTTGCAATACATCGTTCAATGTTGCCCCTGTTGGCGGGGAGGGCTGTGGACTTGGAGCCGTTGAGAGAGATGACCCCAAATGAATCAAACCGTCCTTAATGGCCATAAATCCGGCCTCCAACGCCTCGCTGTGGCTCTTTGACTTGGATGGGTTGGATTTTTTTTCTTGCGACTGCGCAACATTTCTTCTTCGCATTCTGCTCCCGATTCTTGTTTCACTACGATAATACATATATAAATGTTTTTTGCCAACGATAATGAATTATGCGTACCATTAATATGATGAACAATGTCATTTTCGTCGGTGGACATTAAGGATTCCCGTTGATATCCTTTTTTGTCGCTCCAGTATTCCAACATTACATCGTAATGGGGAGGCAATGGGGCGGAGGGAGTATTCCCTGTTTTGATCGCATTCGAGGGCTTCGACAGCGCCCATGCTGACTTCATTTTCGCAAACTACATCCAATGAAACCGAATTGAGATAGTCATCAAATCGACATACCTTGTCTTGCACTTGAGTGACTGAGTATTCCTTCTCCGTGGCCACGCTTAGCTCGGCAGCCAGCATCACGTAAGCAGTCTTCTTGTCGGCGTTGTTCTTCGAGTAAAACCGCGCAGACAGCTGAGACTTGTACCGCAACCGAAACAAAGCAGCAACGCCATCATCGTCCCACAAAGGTGTGCGCTTGGGCGTCTTGGCTAGGGCTGGAAGATTACTGTCTAATAGTATGAATTTGATGATCCTATAGTCTACAACTCGTACCATCGTGATCAAAGTCTAGCTCAAGCGTGACTTCATCGTCGTTCATTGTGCTGTCTCCGATATTGAACGACTGGGCAGGAACGCAGGCGTGAACAACCCATCAACGCCTCAAACCACGGTTTTAGGCAGGGACATTATGCGGATTTCGGATAATTCTAGCCAATCAACACAATAGTTTCGAAGCAGCAACGCCCAAAAGCAAGAACGATTTCTTCGGAGACCACGCTCTAACGTGAACCACTACACAATGCTCCTTAGCCCATATTGACTTTGTAATGCACGATACAACTGGCTAGTACATTGTAGTCGACAGAGCGCAAAAAAAACACACAATAGCGTGGCAGAGCTGTCCGTAGTATGTAGAAATTCCCTCGGCAAGTCTAACCCAACTTCGCCTACCGCGAGCACTCATTCGACTCGAACCACCTAGCTTCTCATTTGATGTAAAGAGGGAACGCTGACGTCGCCGGTATCCGATCATTGGCGGTGCTACTCCGCTTACCTGGCGTCGTGGTCACGCCAAGCCGAGACCGTTGTCATGCTGTAGAAGCGTTGTGTATTATGCTGCGCCGCCTCGCATATCCGACGAAGTACCACGTCATGATCGCAATGTTTGGCCGATCCAGGGAGCAATTGTGTCGAATTTTCAACTACGTTGTGGAAACCCTTCACAACCAATGGTCCGCGTTGTTGTTTTTTGCCCGTCGCGTTGTCTAAAAGCGCATCCAGCAGTATGCTCAGTGTGTTCACATCAAAGGTGCTCCGCCTTGGCCAATGTATTTGCTTTCCCTGATGGGACAAAGCTCGAAACGTGCCGCATCGTGGCCTCATCGACGCTACTCCCAGTCGCCACAAGCGCACAAGGCCCATTGGCGCAACCCAATCTTCAAAAATTACTGTACAGTGGACACAAGCGTCGGCACTGTTTGAACTACCATTAATATATTCAATTATATCGTAGGATATTATATTTACGGCGATCCTGCTTACGGCATCAATCGTTGGATCATGTCGGGATTCAAGGGGCAGTGTAACGACCTAGAAAAAGAATTCAATGCTCGTATGAGTAAAGTTCGGACAAGCGTCGAATGGAACTTTCAGCTGATGAAGACGCTGTGGGCATTCACTACCTTTAAGCCGCAGTAAAAAGTCATGCTGAGCGCCGTTGGGAAAGTAGTTGCGGTATCTATGCTGCTCACCAACTGCCATTG